TGAGGAAAAACAGACAACTGCTGGGGTATACCCCTGTCTCTTATACACATCTAGATGTGTATAAGAGACAGGAGGAGCGCAAGTGTGGGACGGAAGCTACCGTCGTTCCCCCAATAGAACGCACGGTTAATACCTTCTGTATCTAGACAAAGTAGTGGACAAAATACGGCTCTGATGACCGTGTGTTCTATTCGGGAAAGAACGACGGTAGCCTCCTCCAATGAACGCGAAGAGGGAAGACGATAGAGGAGGAGCGCGAGGTCAGGGATGGAAGAAAGATCAAAAGGAGAAGAGAGTCGACATCGAAGACCAGGATGAGGAGCAGGCGACCATCAGCCAAGGCAAAGGCAATGCCAAAAGGCATGAGAAGTAGGGAGTAGAGAGGAGGAGGAAAAGGCAGGGGGGGGAGTAAGAACACGAAGAGAGAAACTTGGAAGGGGAAGGGGCCCCGGGGGTAGGATGAAGCGGGGAGACTGAAACAACCACTACGCATCACATGGCTCCGGAGGAAGAGCAGAAGTGGGCAGCAATAGACAAGAACAGAGCTTGAAGTGCCACGATGAGGAGGAGGAGGAGGAGGAGGAGAAGGAGGAGGAGAAGAAGGAAAAAGACGATGACAAACATCCGACAGCGAGCATAGCGCGATGATGATGAAGTGTTGGAAGAGGCGTGCTAGCACTCATAGTAACACTGGTAGGGCAGGAGGAGAGGAGGAGAGGAGGAGAGAAGGAGAGAAGGACTAGAGGAGGAGAGAAGGAGAGAAGGAGAGAAGGAGAGAAGGAGAGAAGGAGTAGAGGACGAGCAGAGCAGAGGAGGAGAGGAGGAGAGGAGGACTAGAGAACGAGCAGAGGAGAGGAGGAGAGGAGGACTAGAGAACGAGCAGAGGAGAGGAGGAGAGGAGGACTAGAGAACGAGCAGAGGAGAGGAGGAGAGGAGGAGAGGAGGAGAGGAGGAGAGGAGGAGAGAAGGACGAGAGGAGGAGCAGAGGAGACAAGGAGGCGAGGAGAGACGGACGAGAGGAGCAGCAGACGAGGAAAGGAGGAGAGGAGGAGATCGAAAAAGAAGGCGAAACCATCTGGCCTTCGCTCAGTTGGTACACACACAACCGAAGTGTTAAAAATTCAGACCTGAGTTTGAACTCCACCGGAAACAGATGTTTCGGTAAGGTCAAATGTTCGGTAAGTTAAAAATTCAGTAAACTGCAATTACCAACCTGGTAAGTTCACATGGTAGGTACAGTCCAACCATTTGAACTGACCGGCCCTCCTGGGTTCAAACTCAAGCGGAAACAGATGAGTAATTGAGACCGGAACCAGATGCGTAATTGAGACCGGAAACAGACGAGTAAACTGCAATTACCAACCTGGTAAGTTAAAATGGTAAGTCGAGTCCAACCATTTTGATGGCGGTTTTGCAAGGATAGATAACCGGGGCGAAATGAGGGGGGGCAGGAGGGCAACAGGGGGGGGAGAGAGAGAGAGAGAGAGAGAGAGAGAGAGAGAGAGAGAGAGAGAGAGAGAGAGAGAGAGAGAGAGAGAGNGGGGAAGGAGAGGGAAAAGGGAGAGGAAGGAAAAGCTTAGAAAAAGGAACAGCAAGATAAAGAAGAGAAGCACGAGGAGAGAGAGAATAAAGAAAGAGAGAGGAGACAAAGGACCTACAAGAGGGGTAAGGGGAAAATGCAAGGGGGGGGGGGGGGCTGGAGTAAGAAGGCGATCAGAAGGACAAGAGAATGAGGAGGAGGAAAGAACGAGGAGGAAAAGGAGGAGGAGGAGGAAGGGGAGGTGGAGGTGGAGGAGGAGGAGGAGGTGGAGGTGGAGGAGGAGGAGGCAAATTGTATGACAACGGAGACCACTGCGATGAGAAGAGTAGGAATAGAAGTACTACGACAGCGAGAGCGATCGAGGGAGGAGGGACACGATAAGGAGGAGGGACTCGATAAAATGCGCCAAAGAAGGGTGGAGAACAAGTAGTGATAGCAGGAGGAGGAGGAGGAGGAGGAGGAGAAGGGCGATCAGAAAGAAAGAGGACAAGGAAGAGATAGAACGCGATGATTAAACTGCTCTCGAATCAAATATAAAAAAAAAGAACGAAGAGGTCGAAGGAAGAGGGCAACGAAGAGAAACGATCGACCAGGAGGAGGAGGAGAGCAGGACCAGGAGCAGGAGGATGACGACAACGAGAGCAGGATGACGACAACGAGAGCAGGAGGAGGAAGACGAGATCAGGAGAAGGAGGCGGAAGATGAGAGGAGGAGGAGGAGGAGGAGGAGGACAAGGATGAGAGGAGGAGGACGAGGAGGATAGAAGGCGCAAAAGAATGGTAGAGAACGAGGAGGAGGAGGAGGCGGAGGGGAAAGAGCGCAACACATGAGATTTCCTTATCGACACAATGAGAGACCAATTAAGGATGTAAGGGGGCAAAAAACACGAACTCCCTGGACGAAAAGAGGACATTCGAGAAAAGAGCAGAGGAACCGGTGCACATACTGAGCACCTTCTCAGGCAATAGAGCAGACAGAGCAGGCAGACGACAGGGACACAGAGAGATTCTTTTGGCTACCTTCTTCCCCCGAATACAACGTAGGGTCATTATAGCTGTATCTAGACTGAAAGATGCCTCAAATACAGCTATAATGACCGTCCGTTGTATTCGGGGGAAGAAGGTAGTAAGTTTTTTTCTGAGTATAATAATCAGATGACTGCGAGTGCTAAACATTGAGTGCACCTTTGGAGAGAAGTTTGGGCGTATCCCCCCTTCAGTTACTATAAATAGCACTCCTCGACGTCAGCGATCTGCCACCGATTCTAGAATCACTCGACGCGCGAGTGGATAGGAAGCCTTCACCGAATATACCGTCTTCGCCCGAATAGAACGCCCAGTCGTTGCATCTGTATTGGGCAGAACTTTCAGTCCAGATGCGGCGATACTGGACGTCGGCGGGCGTTCTATTCGGATGAAGACGATAGTCGAAGCTAAGAGGGCAGACACGAAGGAACCACTGAGAGAATACGGAGAGAGGAACTTGAATATTTTTTTGGGTGGCGGTGGTCATTCTAGGGGGGAGGAGAGTGAGCAGTACTACTACTAACGGCAGTACTGATTATTCTAGTATGACTAGAACTAGTTCACCGTACCGTTTTTCCCCCGAGCACAACGCACCCTCAGTATGGCTGTATCGGACCGGAAAGATCGCTTGCATACATTCATAATCAGGGTGCATTACGTTCGAGGCAAGACGGTAGTACTAGGAGTTCTAGTAGCAGTTGAGTAAGTAGTACTTCATAGTAGTAGTTCTAGTAGTAGTAGTAGGAGGAGGAGGAGGAGGAGGAGAAGGAAGATGAGGACGAGGACAAGGAAGATGAGGACGAGGAGAACGAGAAGGAAGAGGAGGAGGAGGAGGAGAAGGAGGAGGAGGAGGAGAGGGAAGTTGAGGAGGAGGAGGAGGAGAAAGATGAGGAGGAGAAGGAGAAGGAAGATGAGAAGGAGGAGAAGGAGGAGAAGGAGGAGAAGGAAGATGAGGAGAAGGCGGAGGAGTGGAAGCATCAGCAAAGGTGAGGTAGAGGAGAACGCGGAAGAGGGGAGGGTAGCTGGGGGAACAAGGAATGGAGGAGGAGAAAGAGTCCGACGAGGAGGAGGCAGAGGAGAAGGAGGTAAAGAGGAAGAAGAAAAGGGTGGACACGGAGGATGAAAGGACGGAAGGAAGGCAGGAGGGCGCCAAAAGAAGCAAGGGACGAAAGGCCACGGAAAGACGGAGGAAGCGGAGGAAAGGGAGGAAGAGGAAGTGGAGGAAAGGAGGAGGAGGAAGAGGAGGAGGAAGAGGGAGGAAGAGGGAGGAAGAGGGAGAGGAGGAAAGAGAGGAGGAGGAGGAGGAGGAGGAGGAGGAGGAGGAGGAGGAGGAGGAGGAAAGGGATGTACGGTAGGAAAAGGAGGAGGAGGAGAGGGGGGAGGAAGATGAGGAGAACCCTTGGTTCTGACGAGGTAAGATGGGCCGAAAATGAGCGGGGGAGCATGAAGAATGGACAACGAAACAACCTACCCGGTAATTAAAGTAGTAATTACCGCGTGAATCCGCTCCGGGATGAGATTAATCGGCACAGGAGAGGAGGAGATTGAAAAAGAGAGGAGAGAGACGATCAAACCGACCTCGAGCGGCGGGAAACTCCACAGAGTGACTAGAGGCGGGGCAGGCGGAGGAGAGTACAGGCGGGGCGGGCGAAAGGGCGGCAAAGAACGAGCAATTAACTCACAAAACGACAAGAAACGGGCGGCAATTCCCGAGAAGAGGGAGTGATGAGCCTCTCCCCTCAGCTGTTCTGAGGTGCTCGAGCGGAGCGAAGAGATGGCTTGAGTGCGATACACCTGAGCGGGGCGCGGTGGGGTAAGGCGCAGGGAATGGCGCCAAAAGACGTGCAATTCGCTCAGCAAACGGCGGGAATTTCCAAAAAGCGGGAGCGATGAAGCTCTCAACGGTCGTGAGATGCCCGAGCGAAGCGAAGCGAAGCGATGGCTGTGTGATGATTGACATCCGCCCTGGCTCACGTTCTCACCTCTCCTCACCTCTCCTCTCCTCCCCTCCCCTCCCCTCGCAATCCCACTCCCAATCCCAATCCCAATCCCAACACGTTGCGACTCCCTCGATGAGCACTTCGAGTGCGAACACGCTTGGTAGCGACCCAGCCCAGCCTCCCGCTGAACCACTGGCCAAATGTGAAAGAGACAAGATCTATGGTGGATGAATCTTGCCGCGATGCAGCTGAAGATTCATTCATTCTCCGTTTCACAACGTTGGTCAGTGTATTGATGGCACTACTGCTATGCGTGTGGCTTTCCTGGGGCCTCCTCCCACTAGCAGCGTGGAGTTTCCTCAACGTCTGAATCTGGACGTGTTTGTCAAGATGTGCAGAAAATCCGTTGAGTTTCCTCAACAGCACGTATCCGCAAACACGTCCAGATTCGGGATTTGACGAAACTCAACGCTGCTATTGGTGGGAGAAGGACCCCCGTTGTACGCAACCGGCTTGAATCCGATGCAGTATGTCCAGCGTGGACGCCTTCCTGGCACGTAAAAGGACCGGCGGCCAGCCGATGTGGCTGACTCGATCTACGAGTAGGACTAGTGCATCTATGTGGGTGAGAGCGGACTAGTTCTACGAGTAGCACTAGTGCATCTGACTGCAATTACGGTCAAATATGGATGTATCTGCCCGCAGTTACGTCCAGAGTTTCGGTAGAAACGTCCGCACGGTCATTATCGTTGTATCCAGACTGGAAGTGGACCCAAAAGTACAGCTATGATGACCGTGCACGAGGGCGGTGTGAGGATGCCCTGAATGGGCTTATGCCCTTTTTGACCTTTTCTTTTGACCGTGCACGAGGGCGGTGTGAGGATGCCCTGAATGATATGTGTTGGGGCTTATGCCCTTTTTTACCTTTTCTTTCCTTTTTTTTAAGTAAGCTGTAATCTTCTCTCATTTATCTCATCTGCTTGCCAGTACTCATCCATCTCACATCTTCTTGCAAGCACTCATCTATCTCATCCTCTGGCTAGTCTATGTATAGCACTGGGGAACACCAACCAACCCGGATCTGTCCCTACCCGCCCACGGGGTAGGTTGGCAACTTGGCACCACAGCAGTGGTGCAAGAGCAAGGCCGTACCAGTCCCTCATCACGATGATGAGGGGTGGGCAGAGGAAAAACAGGGGTTGGGGGATATGAGAGATAAGGAGGCAGCAGGGAAATTTGGAATCATTGCGCTAAGGGTACCCCTTGAAGCACTACCATCAATCGTTGCGCTAAGAGTACCCCTTGAAGCACTACCATCCCTTCTATATGCAGTCCAGAGATTCATGGGACGGGTGCTGGTAATGCCTCCTCGGGAGAGAGGAGCGGACGAACCTAGGCTAGGTAACATCTGGATAGACTGCGTACCAGAGGTCAGGCAGACCTTCATGGAATGTGTAGTCGTTAGAAAGCCAACAGGAGGTTTTGTAGAGGTTCAATTTGCGAACCAAGATACCCCATTCTGTAATAAGTGTCTGTGGTGGTATCACGATGAGTTCGATCCAGACTGTTCGAGATTCAGTGAACCGATGACGGAAGGAAGGGGTGGCAGACGTAGCCGGGAAAGAGGAGCTAGAGGTAGAGGACGAGGAAGAGGAAGGGGAGGAGTCCAAGGTCCGATAATTGGGGGTGGGGGAGACAACGGACAGGGTAGGCCAGGCCAATAGGGCAGAGGGGGACGGGTTGGAAGGGGAGGGGCTGTGTGACGGACCCGCCGGGATGGCGGTCCGTCAGGATCAAGACGAAGGGATGAGGATGGGGGAGATGGAGATGGAGCTGGAAGGGACAGCGCAGCTCCAACGCAGACTCAACACGCACGTACTCCAATCTGTGCAAATGAAGAATGAGGAAAAACAGACAACTGCTGGGGTATACCCCCAGCGGACTAACTGACTGGATTGGACTGGCCTGGTACCGACAGTGGTACCGGGCAGGGCTAGAACAACACACGGCCTGTGGGGTCAGGCCACGGCCTGGTCCCACAAGTCGAACTGGGCAAATAGCCAAATAGGCCCTGGCTGTAGGCCAGGGCAGATGAAGGTCTGCTGCATGATCCTCAGACCTGTAATGGATCGCAAAAGCCATAAACACGCTATCCGCAAAAGCAGCGGAACTCTGCAATAAAGAAAGCTGAGAAATCTAGGATGCGGAGCAAGCTCCATGCGGAGTCCATGCAATGCATCCTAAGGTACATAATGTCAAAGAAAAACAAATGTCTGGTATACATATCCTAGCTAACAGCAGAAAATGAAATGTACTATGATACAATCCTAAAGTCCTGGAGGCAGTGACCTCAGTGCTGAAAGGAAAAGAACAATATGTCACAAGATAATATCATGTCAGAGGGGGTGAATGCAGCCTAAGAATCGAAACTCCTAAGGGCAGTCACACATGAAGGTGGGATAGGTCATCAGGCTCAAGGTGGGAGAGTGGTAGCGAAACAAAACCAATGACCCTAACAGATAGACCATCAAGGCGGGTAGTGCTCGACAAAAGGGTGACACCATGCAGGGTCGACCATGAAAAGAAGAGCATGGAATAGGGTGGAGCTATGCCGAACTGGAGGCATGCAATAACCGACGCTAGGGTGATGAGGGCAGTGGGTGAGGGAAACATGCACACAACTCACCGACTGGGAGAGGGAGCTAGATCTGGGAGAAAGGAAGCCAAGATAACGCTACGGTCCCAATGCCTATGCGATACCAAGGGAGAGCCAAACTCAAAGAGACCCAGCTAAGTGAGAACCATCATGCGACAGAGGCAAGGGAGTATGCAGGGTAGGGTGGTGACGTGAAGTAGTCACGTCCAAAAGTAGCTGAAGTCGTCGAAGTGGTCGATGACGTCGATGAGGTAACAGTGGAGTCGATGTCGAAGCAGAGCCGCAAAACGCTGACATCATGAAGAAGAGATGATGATGGAGTACTTGATGGTGTGAGTCAGTGGGGAAAGATGGAGGATAAGAGTGTCAGTCATCGTAACGCGAAGGGCGACGATGAGTGCGCTGTGGACGCTCGGAGGCGACCGTCTGCGGCTGAGGAACGGCCTCGGGGGGAGCGGGCTCGTCCTCGACAATCTCCTCAGCCGGAGGAGGCGGAAGAGGGTCAGTCGGCTGAGTAGAAGCAGATGTCTCAGCACGACGAGCACGATCATATGCACGCACCAACATCCTGGCGTGCTGCAAGTGCTCGAGGGGCTCCCAAGTAGCCTCCTCATCAGGGTAGCCCTTCCAACGCACAAGGTACTCGATGCGTGGAGGGGTATCGTCGGTAACTTGGCGTGATACGATGCCGAAAACAACGAACTCCTCGTGATCGTCCACCATGACAGGTGGAGGGCGCTCATAAGGGCGTCCGACGAAGCGCTCGGACGGTCTGCGATAAGGACGCAGCAAGCAGACGTGGTAAACATCGTGTACGCGAGCGTGTCGAAGGTAATGAGGTAGCTTCACACGAAAGCTGACCGGACTAGCGGCAGTATCAGAACCGACGGCCTGAAGGATGCGGCATGGACCGAAGAAACGACGCCTGAACTTGCGAAGCGTATCTGCTTCGAGCTGTAAGTGGTGTGCGTCGACGAGCACATCATCACCGACTTTGAATGGATGATCCATTCGTGATCGGTTCGCTCGTGCGGCCATGCGAGTCTGGGAGTCGGCTAAACTCTCGTGTGCGCGGTTCATAATCGCCGCCATGTGGGCGATCCAGTCGTCAAGCGCAGGGCAACGAGTGTCTGGACACAACCGCGATGGTCATAGGAAATCCACGGGTACGCGAGGGTGGTAGCCGAGGTCGCAATAGAATGGCGACATCCCCGTGGCTGACGAAACAGCGTGGTTGTACGCAATCTCCGTATGGGCTAAGTGTAAGTCCCACTGCTGGTCATCCCTAACAAACTTTCGAAGGATATTACCGAGAGTTTTATTGGTGACCTCAGTCTGACCATCCGTCTGAGGGTGGTAAGACGATGAGAAGCGGAGCTGGGATCCGTACACCTCGTGTAGGCGTCGCTAGAATGTGCTGGTAAAGCGTGGGTCACGGTCTGAGATGATGCTCTAAGGTAAACCATGATCTCTCACGACTCGGTCGAAGACGATGTCGGCGACCTCACGAGCGCTAATGCGATAGCGACACGGGACAAAACATGCACGCTTCGTGAAGCGATCGATGACGACCAAGATAGCATCATGACCGCGCCCAGTGGGTGGGCGGARGGGACCAATAAAATCCATCGAGATGGACTGCCAACGACCCTCAGGTATGGGTAGGGGCTGAAGTAACCCATACGGAAGGTGGTTCGCACTGTTCACTTCCTGGCAGGTAGGACACTCCTGGATGTAGGCTTTGACAAAGTCATTGGACTTCGGCCAGACGTATAGGCGGCAAACACGAGCCAACGTCTTGTGGAAACCCATATGACCGGCAACTGCCTAGTCATGAAACTCTGCTACAGCATGGACGCGGAGCTTTCTGGTGGAGGAACGCAGATACGTGGTTCTAGCTGACCAGATCTGCCATGCCAGTACACGAGGCCGTTCTCCCCGAGGGAGTAGGAAGGAACGATCTTGCCACTCCGCAGTGTCACGTGGATGACGCGATAATCGGGGCAGTGGCGGTACTGAGTGCGATACGTGTCGATCACCGACTAATCAACAGTGGTGATGGAGATGGTAGCAAGATGGATGGGTTCCTGATTGTGATCAGGACGACGGGACAAGGCATCGGCGACGCGGTTCGTTTCACCCTAGATGGGTTGGGTGGTGAAACTGAACTCGGATAAGTCACGCCACCAGCGTGCCTGTCGAGGGGAAAGCTTAGGCTTCGTGAGGTAAGCCTGGACAACTGAGTTGTCCGTGCGCACCGTGAAAGGCGCCCCATGCAGATAATAACGCCAATGCCGGGTAGCATAAACTACTGCGAGAATCTCACATTCATCGGCAGTGTAGTTTATCTCGGCAGGCAGTAGCTGACGGGAGTAGAAAGCGATCAGGCAATCCCCAGCACGAGCCTCGACAGTCCCATCCTCCGCGATGGTCGGGGAGTAAGTAACAGGAGGACTGTCAGTGGAGGGAAGTGGTGGGAAGGTAGACGTCAGTCGAGAAGCAGTGTCAGCAGGAGGGAGGGAGAAATGAGAAACATGGGGGTAAGGTGAATCTGGAGGAGAGGGAAACCCCTGAGAAAGGACAAATCCTACTGCAAAATCTGACGCATCGATGGTGACGATAAAGGGACGATCAAAATCGGGAAGGCGAAGAACCGGCACACAGGTTACCGCCTTCTTGAGGGCGCGAAAGGCGTCCTCACACAGGGGTGTCCAGAACCACGGCGGGTTCTTTCGGAGGAGGGTAGAGGTAAGGACGTAGGAATACCTAGCGTATCCGTGGATAAAATTACTATAGTAGGTGGTGAGGCCTAGAAAACTGCGAAGCTGCTTGGCAGACGTGGGGACGGGCCACTCTGCAATAGCAGTGATCTTCGCGTTGTCCATATGGAGACCCTGGTCAGACACATAGTGTCCTAGGAAGTCCACTTTGCGCTGGGCAAAGCGGCACTTACTGAGCTTGGCATAGAAGCCATGCTTGCGTAAGCGTTGTAGGACATCGCGGAGGTGTCTGAAATGGTCTTCTAAGGTACGACTGTAGACCAAGATGTCGTCCAGGTATACGAAAACGTATTCTTCAAGGATGTCCCTGAAGATGTCGTTCATCGCCGTCTGGAAGGTGGCGGGTGCATTGGTGAGGCCGAATGGCATCACCGTGAACTCGTAGTGACCGAAGCGCGACCGGAAGGCGGTCTTCGGCTGATCCTCTGCAGCAACGTGGATCTGGTCGTAACCGCTATGAAGATCCATCTTCGTGAAGAAGCGGTTGTCTGCTAGACAGTCAAACAGTTCATCCGCGCGGGGCATGGGATAACTGTTCTTAACCGTGTAAGGGTTAAGGCCGCGGTAGTCGATGCACAGGCGGAGAGTTCCGTTCGCTTTGCGAGCAAAGAGGACAGGTGCACCCCAAGGGGAGTTACTGGGTTTAATGAAACCCAGTCGAAGGAGCTCCTCAAGCTGACGCTTGAGTTCTGTCGCCTCTAGAATCGAGAGTCAGTAAAGTGCCTGATGGTGAACACGATAGTCAGGCACGAGCTGGATAGAATGCTCAACACCGCGCATCGGGGGAATCCCGCTGTATGAGAAATACGGGGGAAAGACGTCGCGATACTCTTGAATCAGGTCCAGAACGGCCGGCTCTAAGTCTGCCGTGAACCGTGTGAGTTCCTCAGCGTCTGCGTTGGCACGAGACGTATGTGTGGACTCGACAGTCGACGGCGCAGGGGCCTGGGACGCGGAGGGGGTATCCGCAGGCTGACGGGTGAACGTAGAGATGGGAGCCACGAAGATGGAGGAAGAGTCAGGGGGATCGGGCTCCAGAGAAATGAGCTCAACCTCGGGACAAAGTGGATCATAGTGAAGAAGATCCATGACGTTCACTTAGTAGATCATGACGTTATCGAGCGCACTGTCCCCACAGTGAGAAGGGACCTTCTCGGCCACGTCACGCAGGATTTGGCAGGACTTTTAGTCGTGGAGCGTTGCCGCTTTGGCCGAGTGCGTCAGCCATACCTCTCGCGAACCCCTACGACAGGATAGGGCCACGCGAGGTACAACTTACCTCCACCTGCGGGAGCTGTCACCATCCCTTAGGTGGGCGTATCCCCGCCGAGGTACCAGTCCACAGTACGAAAACTTTTACATGCAATCGCAGAGGTGGACCAGTCGAGGGCGTTTTCTCGTACGCTATAGCATAGGGGGTACGCGCAGTTCCACGGCTTTATCAGACCCGTATGCAAGCCGACACACTGGGGGGCTGAAGTCCCAAGCGCGACTCGTCGTCGGTCGACTAGGACGCATCCTTCTTACCACGCGTTACACCACGCCAGAATAAAAGTCAGATCAATCGTACAAAACAAAAATACTCCTAGTCCCTYTAGTGTCCAACCCATAACCTTCTCATACGGAAATCGGTTAGGTATCGCGCGCGTGTCTTAATATAAAACCGTCCGGATGCAAGGCTTTCTCATATCACTTAAGCCATGCAAGCATTCACAAACGGTCACAATGATGGCGTACTATGTAGTACCGATAATCGCGTGGTCCTCGATAGTCTCGAGGGTCSYGTTCAACAYTCAAGTGTCGGCTRRCACGCGCRTTRAGGGGTTAATCTCTCGACGCTAGACAACCGCCAAGGAGGTTRARAACCACACCCTCTTCTGCACCCTGCGGARAGTGGGTGGTACACAKGTTCYGGCTTGTGGTGGCAGTCAACCCTTATGGYCATGGAGCCAAGCTCCATCATCCAGGGCCTGAAGAGAAGTCAAGGGGTTTGACTTTGATGACTGCCACGGACATCAACGTCCAACTATGWAAATCAACAAGCAAAATMACGCAGTAAATAAATAAGCATCCCAATACCCATATATCAAATCTGAACTCGAGATAAGATAAAGGGGGGGAAAGGTAAACCCATCAGATATGCAGATCGTGCGACGCATGGTTGCCATTCTCACTGCCTCCAAAGTAAGACTCAAGTACAAAGCTTCAAGATACTAACCTGCATAAAACACAAATACATACGAAAGCCACATTGCCATACACCAATGTGGTCAACTTTTACT